AGATGAGAGAGAGACCTGAATCATTCCAGGATGGTCTTGAGCATTATTTCCAGGCCAGGGAGTCCCATCTTTCATAATCCAACCATCAAGAGGGACAGCCTGATATTTGGCAACAAGACAATTGATGTGGACCTTGAATTCCTCGTATTCACGCTGCAACCAGGAAAGAGGATAAGAAACTCAAATATCTAGCCCATATTGAAGGTCAAGTAATCAGAAGAAGAAAAAATATCTTAAGTTGATATGGGAGAGCAAATCATGCCACTAAACCACCATTATAGAACTCATTTTACCATAGGAGTTGTCCAATGAAAAAAAGCTTATGCATGGTTTTTGTCGAAGTTAAATGCTGCAAAGGAATAAACAGCTATAGATTCCTTTATCTTAGTAAAGCTGCATTGCGTGGACAATTTCTATGGTTTTTAAAAATTCGGAATGCTTTTAGAGACAAGTTCCTTTCAGAATTTCTTCTAACGAATATGTTTGACATAATTCTCATCAACAGTAAAAAAAATAGATCCAACCTCTTAAGAATTGTGCATCGTGAGAAAGATTACTATTCTTCTTTTTTACTCACTATTTTACCCTACATGAGAACTTTCAAGAAAGCCAATGAATTCACAATATCAACAAGACATGAAAACAAGCCTAAAACTCAGAATTAATTACAGGAAAAAAAACTTCAATTATTAGAAAGAAAAAAAAATCCCAAATAAACTAGTACTTCATTTAAAATACATTCATCACCTTCATAGCTCTTCTTTCTTTAGCAAACGCTGGATATGTTTGAGACTTCAAATAATCAACAGTCCGTGAGAAATAACACTCAGGGGATCTTGGTTCTATACTGAACTTTTTACAGAAGGGCACCCATTTTCTTGCAAACTGAGAGGTTTCTGAAAGAGTTTCAAGTGTCAACAAGGATGCTCCATCATCCGAAACATAGCAAGAAATCTTGTCGACCGGGTAGTCTACAGAAAGAATTGATAATAGAGTGTTCGCAGTTACAAGTGGCGGCTCTTTCAGAGGATCAACAGTGCCAACAAAAACATCCACACAAGCTAATCTACATTTCTTCCCTTTGTACCTTAGACGACAAACATTGTACAACAAGTCATTTTTGGACCAAAGACAAATAACCACATAACAAAGCATGGAAAGGAACCACCAAACACAAACACAAAAAAAAGAAAAGGGAGAAAAAGGGAAAAAAAAAAGTGGCGAAAAGTGAAAACATCTTTTCATTTCTACAATTAAAATGATTCTCTGGAAAATGCGGGATACAGTTTTACCTTAGATTTAGCCTTTCAATATACGTTTCACGGTTGACTGGAAACCACTTAGGGATCTGATCTAGAATCCAAGATATGGCAAACCAGAACTCACAAATAACCGAGGTTAACCAAAGCCCATGCGCATGCTTAACAGGATTGACAAGCCGAAACCGAAAAAAGAATGTCAAAAGTATAAGTCGGAAAATGATAATGACTCTATAAGGATTGATCTTTGATGAAGACACCGGCACCTTTCTTGAAAGAGGCTTGCGTAGCTCGTCATTCCTACCATCACATGATAACCATAGAAAATTACTCTAAATGGCTTTCATGATGCAATTAACACAAGACAATTAGAAAGTTACTCGGCATACTAAAAAAACACAAACAATGCAAACCATTAATATGAGATCCAAATATCCAAATAATAGATTGCTTCAAGACTTCAAGTAACAAGTTAACTGCAGAATATCAAAGATCTGACTAACAGTTTCCAGATATTTGTTTTACACAAAAGGATAATCCAGTTTGCAAGTGTAAATATAATAGAACAATCAAGTAATTAAAATAATTTAATTCATTCTCCGTGACTTGTAATTTCAAATTGTCTGAACTGTGTGTACATGTGTGTGTGTGTGAGAGAGAGAGAGATAAAAGAAATTCATACAAAGTTGGTTCTTTGCACTCCTCAATGTCATCAAAGTTGGAGCCATCCAAATCTGGATTTCTGTTCCTCACTTTCCATGAGTATGTTTTTTGTACGTCCTTCCACTTCCGAAGTCTCTCCTCCCACAGAAGAGACCCAGATCTAGAAAGGCATGGCACCTTTTGGTAGTTTAAACCATTTCCTTTAACTGCATAAAAAGGAGAGAGAGAGAGAGAGAGAGAGAGAGAGAGAGAGAGAGAGAGAGAGAGAGAGAGAGAGAGAGAGTAGTAAGTAAGTAAGTAAGTAAGTAAGTAAGTAAGTAACGTAACGTAAGTAACGTAAAGTAAGTAAAGTAAGTAAAGTAAGTAAGTAACGTAA